TTTTGGTTTGAAAGTAATGGTCAGAAAATGTAGGGAAGGTGTAATGCTTATTTTACTAAGAAGAAAAGCACACAACATGTACATAGACCTTCATACAAAATAGAAAGGACAAGGCTTGAAGTGGCTTTATCCTGGGCCAATGTGGTATGTTTGCAGATGACATCCAGGTTGGAGGTTCTGTTAACTACAGCACCCAAATTCTAGTTCTTGTACCTTAGCAGTTAATTGTTTCGTGGGCAACTTCATGTTTTTAATGCTGCATAAATGTAACCTGATGTCTGTGCTATTTTGCATGATCTGTGTAACAAAGCATGTAGTTGGTATTCCAGAAGGATGGGCTCTTGCAACGTGTCTTTTTGGTTTTCCCTTTCCACTTTCAGCTTTCTGGGTTTTAAACTGACTTCTCAGTAAAAGAATGGGCTAGTTTTAGAGCGGTGCATTTAAACCAGTTTGACTAATTGGTTTAAGCAAGAGATTGGGAATATGGAAATCACAGTTCTCCTCACTGAGGGAAATAGTCTCATTTCTGCTGAAGGCAGATATGCTTACTGAAGCAGTGAACATGACCTACTTGGGGCAAGTCAGTTGTCTGTGTCCATATTTGTACATTTAAATGAAGATTGTAACACTTTTCAACCAAACAGGGCTGTTGGGCAATTAATTGGTTAGTATTGCAAGATGCTATTTAAGTATTTTTCTACCTTTGTAATGGTGACAGATGGTATAGGGATGTGGGAAGAGCTTTTATGTGAATTATACTGACAATTCTACCTTTTCTTCCTCGTTTGCAAAGCGATTAGACATGCACAAACATTTCTTTTACCTCAATATGGGGAATGTCCAAATTCTCTAATATTCAGATGTCATCCTGCAAGTGACAGCATATAAGAAGAGAACTACATTAGTGCAGTTTGCTTTTGCTCTACAGCAGGGTGTCAAACATCTGGCCCACATGCAAGATCCAGCTCATGTAGCCTTTTTACCTGGCTCACAGGGCTACTGGAGGGGGCTGGACATTTGGGGATGGGCAGGCAGGAGTGGCATCCACTGCTGTATTTTTGGATGTGGAGTCATACTGGGGACATGTTTTGTATCAATTGATGTGACAACTGCATCAGTCACTGAACCTCCTTGAGCTGACATAGCGATGTGCGCCCTACAGCTGCTGCTGCTGCTGCTGCTCGCACAATGTCTCACTGCTTCCCCTGCCACTAGAGGTAGGTCTAGATCTGGCCGAGGGCACCAGGCAAGTTTGACACACCTGCTTTATATGGGCCTTTAGTTTGAATTGGGTTTAAATTTCAAGATCTTGCCAGATAATTTATTACTGTGGGAATAAAGTAATCTTAAGATTTTTTAATTTTACTCAAATGATCTTAGCTATAAGAGTTTATTTGCCTCCAAAATGACTAAATTGAATTACAGGACTCTAATTTGTAACACAGAGCACACGATAAACGGATCTGGGAAATGTCCCCACACTTGTGAAAACAGAACAAATATAGGTCATTTTCCAAAGGAGATGAAAGAAGCCAAGTATAAGGGGAGCCTATTGTTTTGTGCTGACAGTCATAGTAGGTTTTTGGAGATTGAACATCAAACTACAAAGGTGAAGAGGAGAAGGAGGATGGAAGTGATGAGACTTGTCATACCTAAGGAAGAAGAGAGAGCACAGACAGTACAGGGGCTTCCTAAGAAATCTGCATGAGGAGCATCCAAGGCCCTTTCTCCAGCCACTTCAGTTCCAGGTTTACAAAGTCTTTTGGAAAGCTTTCCTCTTCTCTTTTAGAAGAACTTGCTTTCCTTGACTGTCATGATGATCTCCTCCAGGGGTTAAGTAGACCCAGAAGATGGATAGCAGAGGAAACCCCACTCTACTACTTGACTTCTTTCCCTCATCTAAAGATAAAATACACAGAAGATCTATTTTAAAATAGACCAATCTTATTTACTTTTTTAATCCTCAGAAAGAAGTTAATCCACTGTGCAAACAGCTGGAATAAATCTGAAGGAGGAATTTACAGCCTGATGCTCCACTTATTTTATGCTGATGTAATTCCTTTGACTTCAGTGGAGCTATTCCCGATTTACACTACTGTGAGCAAAGAAACAGGTCTGTATTGTCCAGGTCTAATTCTATCCACTTATTGTATTCTTATGGTATAAATCAATGTTGTGGCCAGCTAGCAGCCTTCATCAACATTGCAGAATGGATCTAATTTTATGCTCACAGAGGTGTAAACCAGAAATAATTCCATTAGAATCAACAGATTTACTTGCATATAAAGCTACTGCGAGAAGAGAATTATGCCTTGAGTTTACAATGGAGGTACAAGTGGATAGTTTCTTACCAATTTTTTTTCTTGTAGTTAATGTTTCATCTATACAGTTAATAACAGGACTACTTCCCAGCAGGACAGAATTTATCCAATGTGTGTCCTGACTTAACCCTAGAAGTCCCCTATCTCTGGGGTAGGCCAGAGCAAAATTTGCCGTGGTGACTGTGAAGTGGTCCCAAGATTCTTCCTTATGATATCCTTTCTCAAGCATACAAGATACCAAATTTTCACTCCAGCACTATTATGAAGGACTTGTATGACAGCCTGATTGATATTCTGCATGTCTGGTATCTCTACTTTGTGAGTTCTGAATTCAATGCGCTATGAAATAAACTGTCTTATTTGGGGCGTCAATGGACCACTGCTGTTCCTTAAAAGTTCAACAGTTTTTGACAGTAAAATTGTGAGCCCCAGCAAAGAAAAAAAGCCTCGTATCTGTCATCCTTACAACTTATAAAAATGAAACCCAGATTTTTGGGTTATTTTAGGGCAAGGGGTGATGATGACTGTTTCAATGCACTTAATGATACATTTAAATCAGTGATTTATGCAGCCTGACATTGACTTTAATTTAGCTCATGTTACAAGTAAAGTAATTCAGTCCTTAATGAAGTGTACTCCATATGACATATTGAACATGTGATCTGACAATCATTGCTTTAAAACAGGCCTAGGTTACATTTTCTTTTGTCATTGAAAGTGGGCTGTCAGTTCATAAACTTAAAACAAGGCATGCTGACCTATCATTCTCCTTGAAGTATGGCACTGAAGTCTGTGAGAGACACACATTAAAATAAACTATTGTAATGGCTTGAAGGGGAAAGGAGGAAAAAAATTATGCCCAGGCTGTATTATATATAAGATCCTTCCAACTTGTTTATATATTCTTAAAGACTATGTGAATGTCTAAAATGAAGAGGATATTAAAATTTGCAGCTACTCAGCTTAAACTGAGTCTTACATTTTAAGGGAAGGAATTTATGGCTAGAGTAAAGTGGGCCAGATTCTCAGCTAGTAAAAGGCTTTCCACTAATTCGGGACCTGGCCTCATGTGAGTTGGTTGAAGGCACAGTTACACTGGCTTCCACAATAACTTACAGGTTTTTGTTTCAAAGGCACTAGTAGAGTGTTTGGGGAAAATATGTTATTCTTTGTAATGTTTGGGTCGAAAGCTGATCCATAGTGTTTGCCTTCAAAGAAGCTGAAGTTTCAAGGAATTCTGTTGAAACAGCATTATTCAGGAGGGACAAAAATCTCAAAGCTAGATCTTCAGACAAGGTTAAGCCAGTCAGATTTGTGCTGGTCCAGTGGCGTGAAAAGGGACAGGGTGAGTGGGAATTCCTCTGGCTACGGAAATCCTCCTGGCATAGCTTTCTTCACATTATCTACTTTCCTTTCTCTATGTAGCTGCCAGTCAAGCAGGAATGTGCTGGTTTTTGGTGAACTTGGGCAAGCATAATGGTAACTAGGCTTTGGTCTTCTATGAGTTATACCATGAAGTTTAACTGGCACCCCCAGTCAGCTCCACAACTGGGGAATATTTAAGGGGTTCAATTTGAACTACAGTTTCAAAGTCACTTAAGAAAGCAAGCCATTTTAAAGGCTAAAATGTACTAAACAATAAGATTTTTTTTAAAAAGCCAGTATTTTTTTCACAATGGATCTCTCCTAGAATGCTTTATACAAATTCAGCTAGAAAAGGAATAGGAGAAAGAAATTAAAGGATACAGTGAAGAGAGAGAGGAAAAAGACACTTTGTTAGATGAAGATGTTATAAAAAATAAAAATGCGTTCTTAAAATAGCTGTGAAGACATAGCAGCTTGGGATTTAGTTTAGACTAGGAACTTGAATTAATCTCTGGGCTCTTCTGTAGGGTTGAACTTGATCTGAGTTTAGACCCTAATAACCTGTCTTCACTACTCTTCTAACCCAAGTGAACCACATAGCTTTTTTTTTTTGCAGTGTTGACATATGTAGCCTCAAATATGAAAAGCATGGTGAGCTCCACAAACAGAGCAACCAGGTTGTTCTGAATGGAAAGGATGAAGAAAATGGCAGCTGCATCACCAACCGGTCTCTTATGATAAGGATACCACAGCAAGACAGTCTGAATTCCAAAAAAAGTTCATGTCTTCCACAGAGGGCAGGGTAGGCTCATTCTTTTGCAGGATCTGAGGCAACATCAAATCAAAGATCTAGTTTTTGTGAAACTGGAAGGACCTCAGTTCATGTTTAATGTGTGACAGAGATGCATAGCACTAGCAGAGATACCCGTAACTCAGTAGCCTGATCATCTGAGTTGCTGAGCTGCCTCAACACTTGTGGACTTCAGTAGGAATTGAGTTTTAAGGAAACAATTGAAAAATCATCAGGAACCATGTAAGATGCATTCTTTGGCTGCAACAGAGGACAAAAGAGTCTTCTAAATTTGTTGGATGTAAAGAAAATAAAGGGGGGGCTTGTATAGAAATTCATGTTTATGGGCAATAATGCTGATATCCATTTTATCTTTCTCTTTTTGTATGAACTTAATAGTTTATATGTGATATCATGCTGTTTTCATTAACAATGCTGAAGAAACTGAGCAGAGTGGGGGGAACCTTTGCTTTGACTTTTTATTCCAACATTATGAGTGACACTGATTTTGCTTTCTTTTACAGGAAGCAAAATAATGCATTTTGTATTGCTGCTAAATAGCAGAGGAGTTCAATCACGATGATCAGAAATGTTTGTCCACTTTTAACCAAACTGCTGATTGGTCAAGGGAGGGATGCTTGACTTTAAGGTAACAACATGGTAATTAACTAGAAACAAAATGCTTTCCAAAAAAATAAAACAGTCCCAGGAACAGACCACATAATAGCTGGTTTAAACTGAGAGTGACACTGTACACTTTTGTATTTAATATATTACACATACAGTCAGTCTGGGAGTTTCAAAGTGTCTGTGGGAGTTAGATGCTTCAATCCCATTGAACTACTCAAAGGCTTCTTTTGAGAATCTTAGCTGTATTCTATTTATTATATTTCTAGTAATCAATGGGATATTTTGGGACAGTCCAAGAAATATTAAACAGGCTGAGTTTGCTCTTTAGCCTGATGTTTATTCAACAGTTCATTTTTCATTGAACACACAGTATTAAAATTACATTTGTTTGTTATAGAGTTGTCAGAATGAAATCTATTTCCAAAAATATATACACTTCCATCTTCTATGATAATTTCTTTCACTGTATTTAAGGTTATGTCAACATGGCCAAAGTAAAACCCTCGTTTTGAAGATTAGTAAGTGTGGCAAACTCCGTTTGGGCTCAAACATGTTGTAAAAAAAAAAAAAAAAAATCTCAGCCCAGAAGAACATTTTTCTAATAAATTGTTTTCAGTTCATTTAGATTTTGTGTTGAAATGAAGTGTATAGAAAATAATGATGTGATTAGCAAATGATATTCAACCAGGGTACATGGCACCCTGAGGTGCCTTGAGATCCTTTCAAGGTTGATGTGGGATTCCACTCACTTCGTGAGGTGTGCAAACGTGATTTGTAAGCTAAACCCAGAGATTTCAAATAGGAATCCATAATGTTAAAATCATTTTGACTTTGGGCCTTTCTGAGTTCTTTGCAAGAAAAGAATTTCTTTACTAGTTTGCTGTAGTCAAAGTAAGAATAAAAACTAGGAGCTTCAGGGTTATTGGTTGTAGCCGTGTTGGTCTAAGGACATAAGCAGACAAGGTTGTTTGGGTAATTGTGATATCTTTTATTAGACCAACTAAATAATTGGAAAAATTATTCTTTACAAGCTTTGGGCATAGGGCGAGTGTGCTGGTGTTTTGTGTGCTCTTTTGAGTGGAATAGAAGCAAAAATGCAAAATGCAGGTCTGTGAAAATGCAAATGCATGGCAGTGAGGATCAGAAGTGATGGGAGACAATATGTGTGAGACAGGTAGGTGGGCAGGGGGAAAAGGAGAGAATGTTGACCTGGTGGTAGAATGTAGCCTGTAAAATGCAGACAGGTTACCTGGGTTATCAGATATTAGGCAGGTTATAATGTGCCATAAATTCAATGTCTATATTTAGTCCATGATTTTTTGTATCCAGTAGATTTATGAGGTGAAGTTTTTAGGTTCATCTACAAAAGGTGTTTCATAAATTCCCTTTGAGGACTAGAACTGAGACACTGGAGAGAGAGTGGTTGTCTTGTGAGAAGTGTGCACCCACAGGGAATTGGATATTTTTGTCTTTGATAGATTTTTGGTGAAGTGGCCAGTGGAAAGAACTTCATTTTAGGAAGTGATATGCAGAATGAACCTGATGGAGAGCCTCTGCTGAGTTTCTCTCTGGGGGAAGAGATATGTAAATGTGTGTGTGTAATGTGATTATTTCTAATGCATTTGAAAATGGGGATGTGAAGGATAACAAGAATGTCAGCAACAAGAGGATGATCGGGAATTTAACTAAATAGGGCAACCTAGTGACAGAGGATGCAAAAACCTTTATTACCTCAGTCTTCACAGGAAAGGTCAGCTTCCAGACTACTGCACCTGGCAGCACAGTTTGGGAAGGAGGTGAGCAGCTAGCAGTGGTAAAAGAACAGCTTAGGGACAATTTAGAAAAGCTGAAAGTGTACAAGTCCATGGGGCTGGACAGGATGCACCTGAGGGTGCTGAGGGAATTGGCTAATGTGATCAAAGCTGCTAGTCATCATCTTTGAAAACTCCTGGCAATTGGGAGAGGTCCTGGACAATTGGAAAAGGGCAAATATAGTGCCCATCTTTAAGAAAGGGAAGAAGGAGGATTCAGGGGACTACAGACCGGTCAGCCTCACCTCAGTCCCTGGAAAAATCATGAAGCAGGTCCTCAAGGAATCCATTTCTAAGCACTAGGATGAGAAGATGATGATTAGGAACAGTCAGTATGGATTCACCACGGATGCCTGACCAACATGATTGCCTTCTGTGATGAGATGATTGGCTCTGTGGATGCAGGGAGACCAGTGGACGTGATATACCTTGACTCTAACAAGGCTTTTGATATGGTCTCCCATGACATTCTCACAAACAAGCTAAGAAAGTAAGGGTTGGATGAATGGACCGTAAAGTGGATAGAAAACTGGCTGGATCCTTGGGCTCAGAGGGTAGCAGTCAATGGCTTGATGTCTAGTTGGCAGCTGGTATCAAATGGAGTGCTCCAGGGGTTGGTCCTCAGGCCAGTTTTGTTTAATATCTTCATTAATGATCTGGAAGATGGGTTGGAGTGCACTCTCAACAAGTTCATGTATGACAGCAAGCTGGGGGGAGTATTAGATATGCTGGAGTGTAGGGCTAGGACCTCAGAAAATTGGAAGATTGAACCAAAAGGAATCTCATGAGTTTCCACAAGGGCAAAAGCAAAGTCCTGCACTTAGGATGGAACAGTCCTGTGCATTGCTACAGGCTTGGGACCAACTGACTAAGCAGCAGCTTTTCAGAAAAGGACCTGGGGTTACAGTGAACAGTAAGCTGAATATGAGTGAACAGTGTACCCTTATTGCAAAGAAGGCTAACAGCACCCTGGGCTGCATTAGTAGGAGCATTGCCAACAGCCCAAGAAAAGTGATTCCTCCCCTCTGCTTGGCACCGGTGAGGCCACATCTGGAGTACTATGTCCAGTTTTGGACCCCCCCAATATAGAAAGGATGTGGACAAATTGGAGAGAGTCCAGAGGAGGACAGTGAAAATGGTTTGGGGGCTGCAGCACAAGACTTCTGAGGAGGGGCTGAGGGAACTGGGCTTATTTAGTTTGGAGAAGAGAAGACTGAGAGGGGATTTAATTGCAGCCTTCAACTACCTGAAAAGTGGTTTCAGAGAGGATGGATCTTGACTGTTGCAAGTGGTGGCAGGTGAGAGAACAAGGAGCAATGGTCTCAGGTTGTATCAAGGAAAGTTTAGGTTAGATATTAGGAAAAACTTTCTCACTAGGAGAATAGTAAGACACTGGAACAGGTTACCTGGAGAGGTTGTGCAGTCTCCATCCTTGGAGGTTCTCAAGACTGTGGTAGATAAAGCTTTGGCTGGGATGATCTAGTTGGGGGCGGTCCTGCTTTGAGCAGGGGGTTGGACTAGATGACCTCCTGAGGTCCCTTCCAAACATAATTTTTTATGATTCTATGAATTTTAACTGTGTCTGTCCTCACAAAAACAGTTCTGCCAGGTGAGCCTCAAACTGAAGGGATAAAAGGATGAAAGAATATTCTTATATAACAGGGACTGAATCTAGAAAGCCAATAATAGAGAGTCTAAAGGCATGATCCTATTCCTGGTAAAACTCCCCACAACGTCAAGTAGAGAGAGAGAAGCCTTTATATTTGTGGTTTGCATAGAAAAAAGACTTTAAAACAATCTAGGGTTTTATATAGGTGCAGCTGGCCTAACAAAGAAGAAAGTCACTATTCTAATGTAAGAAAATGTTGACCTATTAAAAGGAGAGAGATCAGTCAAACATAGCCTTAGAGGAAGACTAAGGGGTATAATTTTAAATAATCACTCTTTCCTTGTCTTCCCTTCTAAAGCTAATGGAAATTAAGTCATTGGGCTCTGGAATAGGCAAGTCATCCATAGATACATACTGGCTGCATCTACATAAGTTGCTTACTGCACAGTAGCTCGTTACTACTGGGCAGTAGCATCGGGTGGCACTAACTGTGATGCAACGCTACGTCACAGTAATAACGAGCTATTGTGCAGTACTAATGAGCTACTGTGCAGTCAGCATCGCCAGGAAACCGTGCAGGGATGCTAATGTGCATTGGCTTGGGTATGCAAGTACCAAATGACTGCACAGTAACAACATGGCCACTGAGAGTCTCATTACAAACAAATACTTCAAACAGACATTCTGAGTCAAGGATTTAGATTTTAATAGGAGTGGAGCCTACGTGCAGTGGGAGTGGCACTGGGAAAAGAGGGGTCAGATTCCAAGATGGAGTTGGCCTGGTTTGACACCAGGGGCTCAGGAATGCAAGTTTTTCTAATGAATCTAGGCCCTCAGCAAGTGTAAACAGATATCAACCCTTCCTATCTTTCGGGACACGACAGAAGCAAAAAAAAAAAAGTATCCAAGGCTGTTGCTCAATCTACCAGTCACACTGGGTCAGACGATGTGTATCCATCTGTAGATTATCAACAACACCCTGACACATAACTGAATACTCTTTATGTACATCCATGTGGCAGCAATATACAACACTCACGAGCACACGCATCCACATATGATCAAAAGACTGGAGCAAATAAACACATGACTCCAGGAGCTGAAGCTTTATAGAAAACACCACATAGTGTGAGGCCCCAAGTTATAATCTTGAGAACTGGCAGCAGTGAACCTAAATAAATGATAAAAGAAGGGAAATTAGTTTTCATTAGACTGTTTAAACTCATTTTTCTATTTCATAGCTCAGGAAATTGGGGAAGGAGAAGGAGTTCAAGCAGCAGGCTGTATCTTCTGCCAAAGCCACCTCTGTTCTGCTGAGACTTGCCAGCAGGGAGTCAAATAATGTTAATTGGGTTTTGTGATGTAGACTTGCCACATACAGGAACTGGATTGAGGCCACAAACTCATTTCAGTTGCTCCCAAAATATTCACATTGGCCTTTAATTTTGTTTTTAAATAGAGGAGATCATCACTAGACATTCTGAACTGATGCATGTCTAGTGTTTTGAACACTGCACCCAGAGTCTGTGTGATTTAGCATGACAACAGGATTACATTTATACAATTAATTAATGTTTGCTTGACCACTTTTATCCAATTTTTTTCTCTAGCACATAAAAGAGAACCTGACATAAATTTCTCTTTCAAAACAATTGACTTAGCAACTGCTGACCTTCTGTTCTGTCATTCTAAGGATTGATTGGATATTGTTGAATTGTTTCATTCTACAGTAATTAAACATAAAATTAATTATGCTAGTAACCTATTATTTCTTTGAACCAAGGACTAAGTCATTTGTTTTTGCTTGGTTACTCTGAGGGCTCTGACATCAGACAGCAAAACCCTTACTGTTGCAAACAAAGTAAATAGTATAAAGGGAGCAATTTAATAATCAAAATATCGTATAAAGACTTCTAATTTCCGTATGCCCAGCCTATTGCATTAGGTTAATATAATTTGATCTATAAATCTTTTAAACCTTATGATTTTGTAATTTAAGCATTTCCTGGATGGCTAATCACGCAAGGAAAGGCAGAAGCAGGATGAACCTCCCCCCCCCAACTAAAAATATACTTTAAAAAATGGGGTATAAAAGAGTGCATTTGTAAAAGACTCAGTGAGCCTAGTATGGACAACTAATTCCAGAGCTTGTATGCCACTTAAATAAGCTCATCTATGTTCAGGCCGGTGCCTATATAGTTTTTTCTTTGTTATGGTGAAAGGACTGTTAGCTACAGTTATATTGCTAGTACATGGTACAAAGAGGAACAGCAGAACAAGTTGATATAATCAAAATGTATGTGCTGGTGGACTTCAAAACAATATTTTGTTATTTTCATTAGCACAGGCCATATTAATTTAATGAGCATGACTGAAACATTTCAATCATGGCAGAAGATACCAAGCACTGGCTTTGTACTCACTCATGAGCTATCCATTATGAAATGCTAGAGCTGCCAATGATGTTGTGATTTTGTAGCTAGGCTTTGACTCTTAGGTCTTGCCCTTTTGATTTGGTGTGACTTTTGATTTGGTGTGACATTCACCACATAGAAGCCAAATGTTCTGACACCACAGTGTGGATGTACTGGAAAAGAAAATGGGTAAAGATGGGAGCTTTATCCACAGTAGGAAAGAAACTGATTAGAACACCTTATTTGCGATCAGCAGAACATTTACTGTACCAACATTCCTGTGAAGCCAAGTTGTCATCCTGAACAGAAGTGTCCTGATTGGCAGTGCATTTTCTCTCTGGGTAGAGCACTAAATCTGCTGCTTATGAGCGCTGTCTTCTCCAGAAGTTATTTGACTCATGCTTTTGGTTGGGTAGGGTGTTGGAGTTCTAGCTATCTGGGTAGGGTGTAGAAAGGAGCTCAGTCTACAGGAAGAAAATTCTCCTATGGTTGAATAATGGACTAAGCAAAAGAAAACCCATCATTTATTGAAGAAGGCCATGTTTCTCTTCAGCATACAAAAATTAACATGAAGCCTATCAGAGGCTTTAAAAAACTTTATTTATGAATAAAGGCAACCCATAAACTACCAGATTTAACATTTAACATATCCAATCCTCCCAAATATATACAAAGACAGACATTAAACTTCTATCAGCAGCGATACCAGAATCCAGAACATTGTCCATAGAAATCTTCTGTTCCCTTCCTTTGCTCCAAGTCTCCAGCAGCTCCTCAGTGTTTCCATCAAAGTTAAGCTCTTGTATTTCTTCATCTTTATACAATAATTCACTTCCTCCTTTCGCCTATAATGCTGAATAACACTGAGCTAGGGTTACAGTGAACCCCTACTGGGGTTACAGTGAACAGTAAGCTGAATATGAGTGAACAGTGTACCCTTATTGCAAAGAAGGCTAACAGCACCCTGGGCTGCATTTGTAGGAGCATTGCCAACAGACACAAATCTTATCTTCTCATCTCTTCTTTCTATTTTTAAATATATTCTAGAAGCTCTTACCTGGCAGGACACCAGCCCTCAGCCATCAGTCAATACATCAGATGTCCATCATCCTTTCAGTGCTGAGGTGAGAAGAAATGGTGGTAGACTTGTTCACTAGTCAGGCAAGCAGAAACTTCCCATGATTTTGCAGTTCCTGAAGGCCAGGTACAGACATTACACTTTTACCAGTATAAATGATCGGAAATGAGTCTGTACCTATAACAGAACAGAAGCTTGGCACACATAGACTGGTTTAAAAAATGGCAGAACCCTAAGATTTGCATCCTGCAACCAAAGGGAGAATGTGTGTTCTGTCGCTACTGATCTAAACTCTGCTTCTTTCAGAAAACTGTGTAACTTAGATCGACTCTGCCTTGGCCTTTTTAAATGTCTGTACCTAGCTGAAAAGAGATGTATCTGGACCAGTGTAGTCAGTCACCTCTGTGAAAAGTGGCTATCAGTATGAAGGTGAAATGAATGGGACTCTTGAACACAGAGACCTTTTGGATTCCATGGACCCAGGATTTGATGTGTATCTTCTGCAACATCTTTGTATATTGGGTCAGGAAGTTCTGATGGGTCAGAGACGAGTCCATGGCACAGACTTACCCAGTTTGTTATACACAATGATTTACAAACCAGTACAGATACCACTATACAAGTGCTTTCTCCTCAGTCTTTGATCTGTGAGGCAAGTACTACTACAGTCAGATGTGCAGACATTGAGTTTAATTTGATCTCTTTTACACCAGCATAACTATGTTGGCTTCACTGTGGGTGTGTTTATATGTGCAGGGGACTGTGCAATTGTTACTGTGCAGTCATTTATTACTTGCTTAAGCATTACCAATGTATTTGCGCAATCATTTAGTACTTGCTTAAGTATTACTGTGCAGTCCCAATTCTACACAGCGTTTTCCCATGCTACTGCACAGTAGCAATGAGCTACTGCACAGTAACTAATTGCTACTGCGCAGCAGCATCAGAATCACAGTTCATGCCTGCTGATGCTACACTGCCATAGCAATGAGCTATGCAACATAGCTTGTTGCTACAGTGACATAGCATCTCGTGTAGGCACACCCTGAAGGTACCATTCTTCCCATAGACATAAGTGAAGGATAGGCTTAAAAGAATGATATAGGCTTGCTCACCAGTATCTGTGGATTTACTGGATAAAATGGTGCCTTCTCTTTCTCAATCAAGAAAGAAGCTTACTTTGTGTATGCGTTACATAAGACAGGGGATTTTTTTTACATTGGTGAATTGGCAAGTAAATTTTTGGCTAAAAATATTTTAGCAAGTCTGCAACAGTGATTTGAGCCTGTAAGTAGCTCATAATTCCTGTGTACATTTTAGTTACTTGTCAGCATAATGTTAAAAAGTTTCTACAGGATCCCATTCCTAAATAATCTTATTCAAGACTTTTACCTATGTATATTCCATGTCCATGTGTAGGTAAAATACTTGTCTGCCTCCCTTCAAACCCCATTCTCCCTTTATAATCTTACAGATACTTTTGCTTGCAGTTTTCTTATTGTATAAAATAGCTAAAGAGCCATTTGCAGTATCCAGTACCTTCCCCACTTTCACCTTTTCCTTGGGGTAAGGCCATCTTGTTCATCCCTTCTCCTTTTCATTGAAAGAGTTCCCATATCATTTAAATTAAGACATCGTCTTCCCAAAATCTCTCCCTTGGAGAAAAAGGGGGGAAACTATGTCAAATGTCAGGGATATTAGGAGTGGAGTAGAACCCAAACTCTATGTCTTGGACTCACTTCTAGTTTTCCATTTAAACGTTTCAGTTCTTGTTTTCCTGTGGGTGACTTCTCATGCAAGCAATATTTTGGGATTGCTGGCCTTTGTTCAAGTGAAGCTGCCAACAATAGGCCCATTTTCTCAAAGTGTCATGTAAGCGAGGTCCTTCCACATGGGCAAATTAGAAAAAAGCCTAGTGGAGAGCAACAAAAAGGTTTAAAGGTCTAGAAAATATGACTTACAAGTTGGAAGAACTGGGATCATTTAGTCCAGAGAAGAAACGACTTGCTTTCAAGCAAATTTTCTTACTTTCTGTCCTAGTAAAGTCCCTCGCTCGATATCACGCCTTGCAAATTTCCCATGGACTTAAATGGGGCCACTATGTCGCCCTTTCAAGCTGTTCTGGTTAATGGGGTTTGCCCAGTGGAACTAGCATCACTGTTCCAAATTGAGGAATGTTGCTGTGGAGATTACAGAGCATGAGATATCAGATCAAGGCAATGATACATGAAGACTTTGATTTCATAGGTCTCTACTACATAAGAAAAGTGAACAGAAGTGGAACTAAGAAAACATGAACTAAACCAGTAGGCGTATTCAGAGGGTTCTAAGAGAACGGGATCCTGTTTACCCTGCGTTCCTAAATTTTACAACATGAATTTTTGGTTGATTTGATTGATTCATACCATATCAAAAACATCCACCATGCCTCTCTGCTGACTGTTGACTAAAAATAGTTCAAGAATAGCTAAAATTGTGGTAGGTAACTGAAATAAGAATGCTATGGAAATACATTGTGAGATGGTGAGCTGAAGTCATTGAAGAGCAAGCAGACATTTTGATAACTTTTCTTGCAGATCCAGTGCCCACAGCTATTTGTGAATTAGAGCTAGAAAACCTGGAACATGTGGAGATCTTGTTTCAACATGGAAATGATACATGCAAATATATAATATTTTGAAACCATCCGGTTTTCATGCTTACTTATAGGAGTTTCAGGTTATAACATAACAATCCTTTTCAGACAAGTGATTTTGTATTAGGTATTTTGGTTTTATATTGCCTTGTAGATATGGTTTGCTTAGTTATGCTAGTAGAAATATGTATTACTGCTTACACAGCACTGTTGTCCTTTTAGCCCTACAGCTGAAGCATAAAATCAACGATAATGCAACCAGCTGATTAATGCCTACTTATATATCTTATGATTTAAAAGTTCACCTTGCATTCCATCTACCCATGGCCCATGGTCAAGGTCCTGAAAAAGTACACAAGTCAATTCTCGCTTCATACTTGGTTTCCTATTTAGAATGGAACAGATAAGGAAGAAAAATGGTTTGGATAGATTTGGTCTGAGAACAAAGCACCTGGAGTTCCCCTCTGATAATAGCCTGTTGAAGAACAAGTTAGCTCAAAACCAAACATCTATGTTAATGGTGCTCTATGCTGGACAAAAAGAGACCTCAGTGTTACCATGTGGTGTTGGTGTTTTCAGATTAAGATGGGGGATTAAGGAATTTTACTCAGCAATTTGAGATGCTTTGTTAGGAATGGAGGAGATTTGAGCTGCTTTGTTCTCAAACCACATGTTAGTAAAAAAGCAAACAGGCACTTAATCCTGACAGACAGCAGAACTTGACATCAATTTGTCCCTCGGGAGGTGACCAGGAGTTCTCTTTGACTGGCTAAAATTGTTGTTCCTTGTGTTTTTGGAGTCTAATACCAATGTTTTAACCAAAACAGCACTGTGCAACCGTATGCAGTAATTCACAACTACAAGTAACTGATCAGCAGCTTTATACTCCCAAACAAGGTTTAGTGTTTAAAAAACACATAGAAGGTGCCAAAGTGTTTACTAAATAGAGTTTAAAATATGTTCTAACTTAAGGTCATGCCTTCAGTCTCAAAAGGGACAATGCCAAAGAAAAGAACAAAAGTTGATAATTTTCCTGTTTGGGATGTTGGATGGTTTCCTGTAACAATAAAAACATAGCAGCCGACATATAGACAGCTGAGTATATACATGATTGTATACTACCCTCTGACACAAACATTAATGTCTTATGTAGATCTCTGAGGTTCTTTTAAACATCTAGTTACATTTTAAGGTCATGTCCTCAAAGGTCATTGATGTAAGTGTATTTGTAGAAAAGAAACAAACAGCTCATTGAATCTGATTTCCTATTTTAACATACATCAGTTAAATTAAATATGCAATATTATAATGTCTGGCAACAAACCGAGGTTCTGATGTATAAAATTTGACTTTTCCCCTCTGTGTTTATGTCATAGCTAATACACAAAGATAAAGTGCATGTACTATGCTCTGCATATTTACTGAACTTTAGCAAGTCGCTAAGAACCAGTGCTCAAGTCAAATCAGAACCACCCAATTTATAAAACACCATTCTAAACTAATTGTATTATATTTGAAAGATACTCTATGTTTATATGCAGTCAAACAATAGCTCATGCCTTCCAGCAGGTGAAAATATTTACACCACCTTTATTATCTTTCCTTTTTGCCATCCTTGCAAACGTGAAGAGAAAAAGTTGCACAACCATACATTGTGCATTACTTAAATAGGATAAACCTATCCAAACAAGAATGACAAGGTACCATTTTTCTTCTCTTGGCAGATGTTGATTACTATGGGGTTAGCTTTTTTAAGGGACCTACTCAAGGAAGTATGATTAATCTTCTAATTTGCTTATACTTCATTTGCAACACACATATAATTGCTATGTGCATGATTCTGAATTCACTCCTGATGACACCACTGAGAAGTTTGCATGTACAAGGAAAATAAGACAGGGCCCTTATATTTGTTTATGCTAAACATTTATTTTCTGAAAGGGAAAAATGACATTCATTAATGATTATTCCAGTGTAGCTACTGGATGAGTGTAACTCTTTTGGCTCAGGAAACAGACTTCTGTTCCAGTGTTCTAACAAACAATAGTAGGCAAAATGATTTCAAGAGTTAAGAAAAATACCTTGGCCCTTGTCCTTTAAAAAATTACACATTTTAAATTTAAGTAGTAAGTAATTACAAGGATAATTATTGATTTCACTGTTTATAACTTGTAAATATCTGAAATCTGGTGGTTATATGGTAGGTTTTGCATAAGGGAATAAAAGTTTATTCATTCCCATGAAAAGAGTAACAGAAGCCTATAAACAACTTCGGAGCACCTCCTAATTCTGTAATTCCATGTTTCTATGGAGGTTTACTGAATATAAAGAGATCAAATAAGGGGTGAACTGAAATCAGAAACACAGTATTCATTCATTTAACTCTGCTATAGTAGAGCAAATTCAGGGTGACTCAAGGGACACAATGTCTTGTAAAACATATGTACTTAATATAAGG